AAACCATCAATCCATTTGCAAAGATCACCAAATGGTCAGACCACAAAACCAAAAGAAGGAGGTACCAGAAACGAAGAAAGTACTCAAAAAGAATCCAGTTTAAATCCGTACAAGCAACGGGCAGGAGTCTGCAGCATGGGTTAAGAAGTTGAACTCACCACTGGTTTCCAGATCATCAGTCAGGAACAGAACCAGGGTCTTGTTATTCAGATGGAGTTAATGTAATTCTGAAGGTGAGGTCCAATCCTATCCAAGTCACAGAAGCAAAATGGGGCAGGATGAAATGCACCCAAAACTAAGGAGATGGTTTTGTTTAGACTATAGCATTAGGGAGAACTTTCAATAGTGCAGGACATCTCAAATAAAAGGAAGAGGATCTGGGGTTTTACAGAAGCAAGTATTTTTCTGAAGAATTTCTTCTATATAACATCCAGATAAGCAACTTTGCAGACTATTCTTGAAGACCTGCTTTGATGGGAACTTCCCCTTGAGACAGTTCGTTTCACAGTGAAATAGCATTCTTACAGAAAGTTTGAGCTGGAATCTGTATATCTAAAGCTTCCATTCAGTTTGCCTTCCGTTTTGGCCCCTACTGGGCCAGATCTAATCCCTCCTTCACAAAACAGCCCTGCAGATACTTGAGGAAATCAATAACCTCCGAACTAAATCTTCTCTCTCCAGACTAGGTATCTCCAGTTCCATTCACTGGTCCCCCCAGGCCATGCTTTTCACCTGCCCATCCTGTGTGCCCTTCTAAGCACAAACTAGAAACTGAAGTAAGTTTTTTGGTTAATACCTCAAATAACTTGCCAATTGGGGGTCAGGTTGATCCCCAATTTTAATTTTAATTATGCTAAAAGTACATATATCATCAAATTTACTATCTTAACCATTTTTTTAAAAGATTTTATTTATTTATTTATTTGACAGAGAGAGACACAGCGAGAGAGGGAACACAAGCAGGGGGAGTGGGAGAGGGAGAAGCAGGCTCCCCGCTGAGCAGGGAGCCCGATGCGGGGCTCCACCCCAGGACCCTGGGATCATGACCTGAGCCGAACAGACACTTAAAAGACTGAGCCACCCAAGCGCCACAAGAGCCTTAACCATTTTTAAAGGTATAGTCCAGTAGGGTTGAGTATATTCACATTGTCGTGCAACCGTTCTCCCCAACTGAAAACTCTGTACCCACTAAACAGTAACTCCACATTTCCCCCTTCCTCAGTCTTACAACCACAGTTCTACTTTCTTTCTCTACGAATTTCACTACTTTAGGTACCTCTTACCAGCAGAATCGTACCTAACGTTTGACTGACTTCACTTAGCATGTTTCCAAGGTTCATCTGTGTTGTCGCGTGTGTTAGAATTTCCTTCCTTTGTAAGGCCGCATAATCCATTGTAACCACCACATTGTGTTCGTTCATCAAGAGACACTTGGGTTGCTTCCACCTTTTGGCTACTTTGAATAACACTGCTAGGTTTTG